CACACAAGCAGGGGCGCCAGAGGGTATCTCATTCCTCCGTTCACGGCCAGATTGCGGGGTTGTTTCAGGCGGTCTGCTTATTTGCATGCCCAACATCTTCCGCTGTCGGAGCAGGTTTCGAGGATGTCTCTGGCGAGCGCGCTGGCTTCCGCACCCCAGGGGTCCAGATTGCGATGGTGTCTCAAGCGGGTTGGTTGTTTTGGTGGCCAGACTCGTCCGTCTGCGTTCAGAGCAGGTGTTGATGATGTTTCGGGCGAGGCGCGGGATACAGCACCGCCAGGGGCTCAACCAGCGAGGATGTCTCGGGCGGTTTGCCGGTTTTGGTGGCCAGACCCGTCTGCGTTCAGAGCAGAGTCGGAGGATATCTCGGCGAGGCGCTGGTTTCAGCACTCTCAAGGGGGAAACCACTAGGCTGTTTTCACGGGCTCGTTCGCACTCAGATGGTGAGGTTGTTTCCAGCGGATTGCACGCTTGGGTGCCCAGCATGTTCTGCTTTCAGAGCAGATGTGGGGATGTCTCGAGCGAGGCGCTGGCTTCAGCACTGTCCGGGGGGGGGGCCGTCAGGGTATATGTCATTTCCCCGTTCGTGGCCGGTGTGGAGACTTGGCATCGTTCGGACGTGTGCATTTTTCCTTCGGCGAGGATCATCGAGAACCATCCTTGATCATGTGGCGAAAGAACCACGCACGAAACAAGAAGAAAACACAGGAAATGGACGTCCGAGCGATGGCCAGGAGATGTCTCAGGCAGTTTTTTTTGTTTGGTGGCCCAGGCTTCTCCCTTTTGAGAGCCTCATGATCGCCGCGATAAGGCAATCGTACGTAGCACCCCGCAATTGCGGATAAGAGTGAGGGGGCGGGCGCGGGCGACGCGGGCGTCGTCAAGCCGGCGGACTTATCCCACCTTCCCTGTCGATGGCGCTCTCCTCCTCCTCCTCCTCCTCCTTCCTCCTCCTCCTCCTCCTCCTCCTCCTCCTCCGCCTCCTCCTCCTCCTCTCCTCCTCGTCCTCGTCCTCGTCCTCGTCATCGTCATCGTCGTCCTCCTCCTCCACCTCGTCCTCCTCCTCCTCCTCCTCCGCTTCTTCCTCGTCCTCCCTCTGCCCCCCTCGTCCTTCCATCATCGTCCTCCCATTGTCGTCATGTTCCTCCTCGTCGTCCTCCTCCTCTTCCCCCCCTCCCGATCCTCCCCCCTCCTCCTTTTCGTCGTCGTCGTCGACGTCGTCGTCGTCCCCTTCCTCGTCGTCCTCCTCGTCGTCCTCCTCCTCCTCCTCCTCTTGATCCTCATCCTCATCCTCCTCCTCCTTCTCCTCCTCTTCGTCCTCCTGCAGAAGCAGCCCGCCGCAGGCGCCGAAAAATTTGGTTTGTACACTGAACGTGGTTTGGGTCGCGGGTGGGCCGCGGGTTCTCCACCGGGAACGAATGCAAAAAATGCCCGCCGCAGGCGCCGAAAAATGTAGTTTGTACCCTGAACGTGGTCGCGGGTGGGCCGCGGTCTCTCCACCTAGAACAAATGCAAAAGATGCCCGCCGCAGGCACCGAAAAATGTGGTTTGTACCCTGAACGTGGTTTGGGTCGCGGGTTGGTCGCGAGTTGATCGCGGGGTGGGTCGCGGGCTCTCCACCTGGAAGGAATGCAAAAAAAACCCGCCGCAGGCGCCGAAAATGTTGGTTTGTACCTTGAACGTGGTTTGGGTCGAAGGTGGGTCGCGGGTGGGTCGCGGGGTGGGTCGCGGGTGGGTCGCGGGTGGGTCGCGGGTGGGTCGCGGGTGGGTCGCGGGGTGGGCCGCGGGCGGGTCGCGGGGTGGGTCGCGGGTGGGTCGCGGGTGGGTCGCGGGGGGTCGCGGTGGGTCGTGGGGTGGGTCGCGGGTGGGTCGCGGGGGTCGCGGGTGGGTCGCAGGGTGGGTCGCGGGGTGGGTCGCGGGGTGGGGGTCGCGGGTGGGTCGCGGGTGGGTCGCGGGTGGGTCGCGGGGGTCGCGGGGTGGGTCGCGGGTGGGTCGCGGGGCGGGTTGCGGGTGGGACGACGACACAAACAACAACAACAACAACAACAATCATTTAGACTGGGGACACTCCGTTCTCACCAGTGCCAGGGTTTTCATAGGAGGCGGGCAATACCCCCACTTTGTGGGGGGGCCGGTTCAAGCTCTACCAAGTTTCCAAACGACTCTTCGCCACCACCCACACCCAGCTTCCCGCCCTATGACGTTCGGACACTTCACTTCGTGGCCTGCGGACGACCTTGGCTACTACACTGACGCATGGGTACAATGACTTGTTGTGGTAACATTTTGTGGAAGCTAGCTTAGTATACGACTTATCCCCCTGTTCCATCACTGGACACCTGTACCGTTTTCCGACGTTTTTCCGTTTCTGTACCACACAAGCAAAGATTATTTTGAGTGGTACCACGTGCGTGGCGCCAGCATACCACAGGACTTGTTTCCGTGATCAGTGATTTTGTTCGATGACGTGGTGACGCACGGACTGGTTGTGGTAACATGCCGACGACGACGACGACGACGACGACGCGACGGCGCGCGCATGTGTCCCGCATGGTATTTTTTTGCAAGGGATTGTAGCCCCTGGCAGGCGCGCGGACGCCGTTGAATGCGAAAGTAGCTCGCGCGAGCTCATGTAAAATGTTGAAGAACCATTTGTTTTTAAGGATTCGGACAGCGCGCGCGGGTAGAAATTTGGAAAATCCGTGCGCGTGTTTTTCGAGGACCTACGGGGCGGATCATTTTATGATACGCGGCGCTGAATTTCTTAAAAAACCCAGTGGTATTGGAAGATTTCGGCGTGCGCGCGCGAAGAAAAAACGAATGTGTCCCATATGGTATTATTTGACAGGGATGATGGCCCTGCCATGCGCGCAACCGTTGTTGCAGAAGTTCGAAGCACGTGAAAAAGTTGCTCGCAAGAGCCCGTTTGACAGAAATGTTGAAAAAATATTGCGTTTCCTCAGAAATCCGCAAGAGCGCGCGGGATGAATTTTTGAAACTTTTTTTTTGAAAAACCATTGGGTTTTTCATGTTTTTATGTTAAAATCGCTACGAAAACTAAGGTTTTGGAAGGATTTCATCTTGCGCGCGCGAGTGTGCACTTCGTGTCATTTTTTTGCAAAGGATTCTTGAAGTTTGGTTATGTTAGAACAAGACATGTCATTTTATAGTGTTTTTTGACAGGGAAAGCGGGCGTCAACAAAACAACCGGATCTGGATGACATCGTTTTACCTGAGACTTCCTCACGAAAATGATGAAAATGTGGCTGCGGCCTAGGCGCGGGGGGGGGGGCGTGCACCAGGGGGCCCAACAATAAGTATTCTTTAGAATTAATAATGTCCAACAACAACAACAACGACAACGACAACGACAACGACAACAACAACAACAACAACAACAACACCAACAACAACAACAAAAACAATAACAATAACAATAACAACAACAACAACAACAACACCAACAACAACAACACCAACAACAACAACAACAACCACACCAACACCGACAACAACAACAACATCAACAACAACAACAAACAACAACAACAACAACAACAACAACAAACAAACACCAACAACACGAATCCGCACCGCTGAATCTCACTTCAGCCACGCACCCAGGGACAGTGAATGACCGTTCGGCCCCCTCACTCTGATCATGCACGTGGGCACCCCAGGGCCCCAGGGAGGAGTCGCCAGGGAGGGGGACACTTGCCAGGGAGGAGGAGGGATGAGGGAGGACGGAGGAGGAGGGTGGAGGAGCAGGACGCAGGTGGGGGGGGAGAAGGATGGCCGCCAGGGAGGAGGAGGAGGAGGAGGAGGAGGAGGAGGAGGAGAAGGAGGAGAAGGAGGAGAAGGAGAAACACGACGGTTGAGGACGAAGATAGACGCAGGAGGAGAAGGAAGCAGCTGTCTCTTTGTCACCTTCATTCCTCTGTCCTCACGCCTGCTCCCTCTCAGGTTATTCATGCTCAGGGTCACTCGCCCTCATACTCAGACCACTCGTTCTCATGTCCACCTACACTTAGCTTAGTCATACTCAGACTCGTGCGCACGCATATACTTACTCACGCTAAGACTCACCCACACTCACTCAGACTCGCTCGCACTGAGGCTCACCCGCCCTCGGACTCTCATACCCAGCCCTCATACCCAGGCTCTCTCGTACCCAGGCGCTCGTAGCGGAAAGTGCCAGGACACTACATGCACACATGGGGATCTCCGCGTTGATTAATTGTTCAATTGTTCCGCCAAACACGTGGTAGCCGAGCTATCTTGTGTTGAATGGTGTTTTTACCATTGTGGATTACCCACGGATTATCTGCTTGTGCTTCCAGCTTGCCCACAGACTGCTCCTGCTGACGATCTCGCAGCCTTGCGGTGAGCCAGCATCGGGGCCTGTTTTGAGCTCCTAGTGGAGCCGTGCGGGGTCGTTTGAGGGCCTTCTGTGTCTTTTTGGCGTCTCTGTTGGGGCGTCTTGGGGCCACCTTGGCGTCCTTTCGGGTGTCTTGATGCTGCGTGGTGGGGCGGTGTTGGTTCGTCTTGCGGGGCACTTTTGGGTCGTCTTGGACGCCGGCGTGGGATTTGAGCAGTCTGGGGGCCTTCTGGGGGCCTGGGAGTGTGGCGGCGTCCGGAACTGATCAGGCGAGATGCAAAGCATTTGAAGCCATTAGGCCGTTTCACGGTTTTGAATGTCAGAGCTCTTGGGGTATCTTTTGGTCTTCTTGGGGTCCTTCAGCGATTTTCAGAATTGTTGTTTATGCTGCTTGGGCGCATTGGCCGTGTTCAGCAAGGTGGAGGCGTCTAAGGGTAGAGATAGAGGCTCGGCTCTGGTAGCCCGGGACGTGCGTTGGGGAGCTCACCCCTCCTCAAACTGGATTTTGGGTCTGCCGGTACCCCCCCGAGTGACAACAAACCATCTTCCACCCTCTGTCCTCCGTCTTGCGCCATCCTCTTCCTTTGCCTCCAGCTCCTCCCGTTCCCCCCCCCTTGCGGAGGACGCCGAGGTGGTCATCCTGAAGGGCGACGCAAACTACCGCAGGCCTCCCTGGGCTCGACCCCCTGGGTCCTTCCAGGGTTGGCGGGCCGAAGCGGCGGGGCGCCCTCCTCCTCCTCCTCCTCCTCCTCCTCCTCCTCCTCCCGCTATTTCCCGCTATTCGACGCGCCATAAGGGTCAGTGCCCTGAAGCGCAGCGCGGCGGCCGCTGGCCGCCGACAGAGGAGGGGGGAGGAAGGCCCGTTTCATTGTCCTGGGACCACATGCGAACCCTACCCCTGCCCCCCACGATTTCTGAGGGGGAGGGCGGGGTGGAATTCGTTCGGGAGCTCCCGAGCGAAGTGAACCCTCCCCTCCCCTTCAGAAATCGTTGGGGTAGGGGTAGGGTTCGCCTGTGGCCCCCTAATTGTCCTGGAGTATTTTGGGCCCGGAGGAACGAGAAGGCGAAACAGAAGGCGGGCCCGCTGGGCCCTGCACCGGTCGGCGAAGGGCCCGAGGGCCCGCGGGGCCCTGGCCTTCGGCGCGGCGAGGGCCCGCCCGCCTCGGGTGGGGCCCAGCTGAGCTCGTCCGCCGAGTCGGGGGCGGCGGGGCCCTCGGGCCGCGTCGGAGGCGGCGAGCCCGCCCGCGCCTGGCCTCCGCGAGGCGCCCCCTCCTCCTCCTCCTCCTCCTCCTCCTCCTCCTCCTCCTCCTCCTCCTCCTCCTCCTCCTCCTCCTCCTACTCCTCACTCTGGCACCCCGAGGCCACCCCGAGGTTCGCCCGTGGCCAGCGAGCCTCAAGAGGAGCGCACAGCTGAAGGAGGCCCAGAGTGCCCGGAGGCGCCCGGGGACCGCCCAGCGCGGGGTGCTCCGCGTCGCGCGTGCGTCCGCCGCCGTGCACCTGCTGGCCCAGCGCCAGGGAGCTCTGCGTCGCCCGCAGGCCTGCGGGGGCCGCCGCGCCTGGCCGCCTCGGTGTCCGCCCTCTGGCCCGGCGCGAGGAGCTCCGCGCTGCCGTCGGCCTCCGCCATGTGCTCCCTCTGGCCCAGCGCAAGGAGCTCCGCGTCGCAGGCGGCCTCCTCGGTGTGCACCCTCTGGCCCCGCGCGAGGAGCTCCGTGTAGCAGGCGGCCTCCGCGGCGTGCTCCTGCGAGCTCCTCCACGTGCGAGCGCAGGCGCCCAGCTGGCTGCTGAGGCCTTGCCTTCGGTGCTGCTGGTAGACGGCGTGCTGGTGGTAGGTGGGTCGTTGTGGGTAGTGGTGGGCCTGTGGTGTGGGTCGTTGTGGTTGTTGGTCGCACTAATGGTTTTCATGCACCGACTTCAAGTGGGAGTCGCGGCGGTCCCACCTCGTCCCGCTATGGCTAGGGTTCACAGTGCCCTCGGTGGGGGCGAACCCCAGGCCTTGTGCTCGTTGTCGTGGTGGGCTGGTCGGATTGCCCTCGCTTCGCCATCTGGCGCTCGGGAGCGCCACCTTCGCCTGGGGATGGTGGGGGTGGCGAGCTAGGGCGGACCGCGGGGGCGCGGGTGGTGGCCGTCCCATCCCCCCCCTGCCCCTCCCCATCCCCCCTGGCGGGCGCAGGCAGTGCTCATCCTGCCTCCCCGCCCTTCGAGCCCGTCTCGAAGTTTGAACCTTGCCTCTCCAGGGCAACCGCGACTGTCTTCGTCGTTGCTGGGTGAGTTGTCGGGTGAGGCTGTTGTAGAGTCGCGTTGGTGGTTGTAGTCGTTGTGGTGGCTCGTTCGTCGCAGCGTGTCTGCGTGGTGTAGTCGTCTCCCAGTGAGTAAACCCGCACTCTTCCGCCTGTGCGGAGCCGATGCGTGGTAGTCCACATGTCCAGCTTTACATGGCGACGTGCCTGAGGTGTTACCTTGCATTCGGGGCTTCCTCAGGACTTGCATCCTAACGCCTCCAGCAAGACATGGCAGACGTATGCCTGGGGTGTTCCCTCGCATTCGGGGCTTCCCCAGGACTTCACGAGCCCCGCGTTGACCTCCTGGTGGTCAGTCATCGGGAGAACGCGGGCACCCGCGTAGGTGACCATGTAGACCGAACCAACAGCCTGCGGGTGGGGACGTTCGTCGGCAACGGGATGACGAAAGGGAGGCGCAGAAGTGGGAGACGCAGATGATGAACCTCAGGTTTTCCGCCCCGACCCCTGCTGCCCGACCTAACGGGAGCTAGCATTGAGTCGGCGCAGAGTTTGTGTGCCAGCGCATTTTCTTTTGCGGCGTTGGGCGCCCTGGCGCCGACGGCCGAACGACCCCTGCAGCGGGACACCCTGCCCACACGGTCGGCGCCGCAAAAACTGCGCGTTCAACGCTGGAACGCGCAAAGGACGCACCGAAAGGCGCAGCGCGAGGAGCATGCCGTCACACGTCCAAGAGTGTAGCCGATCGGTGCCGTCGCTGCTGAGATGAGGAGGTCGCCCGGTAAAGGAGCGGAGCAGCGATGTTGAGTGGAGTCCGCGGACCCGGTGGTCGTCTTTCCACCTGATGAGCATCTGCCTTGGCCCATTCACGGGCCTCCCACAGTTGTTGGTTCTTTCTAGGCATCTGCCGGTTGCCGTCGTAGTAATCCAAGCCGATGTCGCGTGGTATGTAGGGGTCCATGGCCTGGTAGAACTGCCTGACGTCGTCCTCCAGCTGCCAGTCGTTGGCTACCACTGGTGACAGGCCAAACCTGAGGTCCAGCTGCTTGCTTAGTGCCTCAGCTATCGCCTGGCACATACGCGGTGGGTATTCCTTTGCAGCTGTGGTGCGCAAGTTGCCCTCGTGGCGTGGTCGACACCTGAGAGCTCTGCGTGGAACCTGGGAGTGTGGTAGCAACGGCCAGCTCCAGGTAGGCGTCGAATCGCCTTCTCGAGCTCGGGGAACGCGATGGCCATCAGGGTTGTGGACTTCCGTGACGCCGCTCCGCAGGTGCACTGGTCGAAGCTGATTTTCTTGACCCCGCGCTAGCAACATAGGTGGGCCGTCTCAGGCAGCTGCCAACTGCTCGCCATGCAGTCCTCGCTGGGTTCTATAGGATGCTCCAGCATGCCTGGGATGCCGTAAGTCGCGCATGCGTACATGTAGAGCAGCTGGGTCCTGTACAGCCTGTTCCCCATTTTGACTTGCTCCTGCTCGTGTCTTCTGAGGTACGACAGCCCCCATAGGCTAGATGCTGACCGTAGTGGCCGTGGTGGACGTCCACGACACTGGTTGGAAGGTAGGTGCCGAGCCCTGCTCCACGTCTCACAGGGCGGGCCACCTAGCACACCTCCCACTCGGCCTGCTCGCATGAGTCGTTGCCATAGCACGTTGGCTGCCTCGTTGGTCAGGTCGCCGTATATGCTGTCGTTCGCCACGTCGAGACTCAGCATGTATACTGTGGGTCCAGCAGCATGGTGTATGCTGTCAAACCAACTCTGGATGTCGCCTTCGCGCCTTCTGCCGCTGAATAAGTGCAGTCTGTCGATGATGTTTGCTCGTGGAGGTCGGCTAACGTGGGCCACGGCGGGCGGTGGTGTGTCGATGGTGGGCAGTTCTGGCTGTTCGTCGCTGTCACCTCGGTCTTGCTGCTGGTCTCCGTCGTGATCAAGCTCAGGAGGCTGAACTTGTACGCAGGGACGTTCCGCCCAGTCGACTGGGCGGCCAGCATGGCGGTTGGCTCGCTGCTTAGCAGCATCTTGTTGTTGTGCTGCTCCTCTGGCGCTAATTCCTTGGGCCGCGTCGCGCGCCAATGCCGTTCGACACTGCTTGACCTTCTGCAAGTGCTTGACCAGGCGATTGTACGTGTGGAACTGCACCCCGCAAGCCACGCAGATGGTGCCGGTTGCCCACGCTGTTGGGTGCGATCCCGTTGGATGGTACCTGGTCATGTGGATCCGTAGCTGCTGGGCAGAGGTTTCCGTCTTTCCGCACTCATAGCATATGTACATGTTCTCGACCGTGGGTGCATGTCCTGGTAGCGCCTCCACCTGGTAATTATGAGTCCAGTGTGGTAGCTGCCGCCTCCATCGGTCAAGGTGGTCAAGGTCATACGCATGTTCCCTGCCTCGCTGGCAGGCTCTCTTCGTCGCGTGGAGGAAGCTGGCGTATTCAGACCTTGCCCAATCTTTCCATTCGTCCAGGGTGTAGCTGCCTCCTCGTTCTTCGGGGCCAGTACGATCACGAAGCCACGAAAGATCTCGACGTACTGTGGCTGCCCAGCCGTAGTCTCTTGCCCAGCTTTGAGCAATTAGCCTCCTCCTCCTCCTCCCCCTCCTCCTTCTCTTCCTCCGCCTCCTCCTCCTCCTCCGCCTCCTCCTCCCGCTCCTCCTCCTTCCTCCTTCCTCCTCCTCCTCCTCCTGTCCCCGCTCCCGCTCCCATCCGGGCCTCTTCTGACTCCACAGCACCGGCGTGCGTGCTGGGAGAGTACCGTCGGACCGAGGTATGAGATCGAAGCCAGTGCGGTGAGGGCCCCCGAGTGTTCTTCGAGCGTGTCGGATGCTCTTGTGCACCCTGGGGAGGGCACCCTTAGATGCTCTGTGTGTTTTGGCCGACTGAGGGTCTCATGTTCTTGAAGGACGCTCTTATGGCCCAGGTCCGACTGTAGCGGGCGGGGGGAGAGACAGGGATCATGTTCGTAGCGGGCGAGGGGAGAGATTGGGATCTTGCTCGGGTTCGGCATGTATTTGGTTCTGGATTCTGCCATGCCGCACGCGCGCTTCTCGCGCAGGTCCAACCTATTTCATGACCATCAGCTTTCTCATCATTCCAAGCTCGATCTCTTCGAACGCATATGCAAAGCACCTGACAGACGCTTGATTATAAACTAGGTGTTCTGTCGTCTTTGTGAAATAGTGCCATGCGAGAACACTCGCGCGCCCCGCCACGCGCGCATGTCGAAGTCATGCATAAACCATAGCGCAATTGTTAAACTCATCATATCTATATGTTTCCCGTCAGCCCTGTACACGAACGACATGTGGGCCAGACTCGCGCGCCCCCTCGCGCAGCCCGACAGCTTCAAACAAACGGATCTTGAAGCATTTGATGACAGAGCTCTGCAAGCACACACGCAGAACACAAGGGCTTCCGATGCGAGAATTCGTCAGTTGCCTTCTGCGCGCGCTTGAGGAGGAGGAGGAGGAGGAGGAGGAGGAGGAGGAGGAGGAGGAGCAGATCCCTGAGCGGAAACAACAGGTTTCCTGCCCTCCCCGTCGAACCGAACCAGGTGGGCCACGCGCGCGCCCCCCGCGCGCATGTCAACATCGGTTTGAGGCCATCGCGCACCGGCTCAGAACGATTCCTTGTGGATTTGCCCCGCCGTCTCGGCCAAGTATTCACCACCCACCAAACCACGCCAACCCAACCCGAAGGCTCAGATGTACCCTCGATTTCTAGTGGGAGGGGGTCGGGAAACATCGAAAAGACACGCGTGGAACCCTTACCCCCCCCCACCCCGAAATTCGGGTCTTCGGGTTGGGTTGGGGTGGTCTGGTAGGTAGTCAAATATGACAGCGCGGGCTTTCGGCGTGCGCCCCCGCGCGCGCACTTCGAACTCGTCAGGAGACACTGGCTTGTGTGAGGTATTTCGCGGTGGAGGTTCTTCAAAGCCATGTCACACACAATGCCTTCTAACTGAACATCTTTGGGGGATTTTCCCCTGACGCCACCATCACTCACACGCCAGGGTCATGAGTCTGCATGAGAAGGGTCTGAGCGTGATTGCGACTGCTGGGATTCGCTGGCAGTTTAAGGTAGGTATCTGCACTCACCGCCTCCTGAGTCTTGCCAACGAAATGCGGGCTGTTGGGCAGGACGTTTGTTCGAGCGCTGGAGTTGGCGATGTCATGTTCTTAACATTAGTGGCACCTCATCGTTCTGACCGCAGAACTTGCACCTCACTTATTGTACGGCATCACGTAGACTACTACACTACATGGGCTGCACCCCGTGGCTTGCACCACAGAGCTTGCACCGCACAGCCTGCACCACATAGATGGCATCCCACACATTGCACCACACATAACAGATGATTATCTATTCACGGCTGGCATTCTCATCAAGCAACCGGAATTACATTCCCCAATCGAAGCTTGCTTCTGTAGGGGTCCTAGCGGATTCGTATGGTTAGGTGATGTATTGCGCCGATTTCGGCAGCACATCCGGGTGCCCAGGTTTCCGGGTGTCTGGTAGCCCTAAAGCCCTATAGCCCCAAAAGTCTTATAGCTTTCTAGCCCTATAGCCCTATAGCCCTGTAGCTCCATAGCCCCATAGCCCTGTAGCCCTATCGCCCTAATAGCCCTATAGCCCTACAGCCCTACAGCCTGATAGCCTTATAGCACTACAGCCTTATAGTCCTACCCTACAGCCCTATAGCCCTATAGCCCCATAGCCCTACAGCCCTATAGCCCTAAAAAGATTATGATTGGGCTTTTCTCTGGTATCATAGGATTCTATATTTACGGTTGGCACGCGCATCAAGCAACCGGATGTTTGTCACAGTGTTTCGGGTTTCTTGGTTTCGCCCGCTGCGATGTGGCTTCCCACGGGCGTTCAGAAGTTGCCGCGTTCAGGGTGAACTGGGCACCCACTTTGTACTTCGCGGCCGGTCTTTCAGGATTGGGTTTCTTGCGAGAATTTTTTTTGGAGGGTGAAAGAGGGGGTCTGCAACAGGGGGTCTTCAATGGGGGCTGAATGGCCCATGTATGCTCAATGTATCGCTCATGTATGTGATCGGGAACGATTGGCACATTGGCGGTCATGGAGGGCCAGTCGTTCGTGCCCGCGCGTTGCCTGCGTGGGCACAAGCGCCGTCCATCCATTATCGTTCATGCGTGCGGGCGTTCTTGCATTCTGCGCGTGGGGTTGCGAAGTGGAGTGCAAGAGTGTCTTGATTGTGCGATTGATGATCGCGTATGTTCCCAAACGATGAACTATCGACCCCCAAGACAGATTTGAAATGGGTCCCGCGACTCTCCCAAAATGTGAATTCACATTTTCCGTTTTCCCAGAATGTGAATTCATATGTTCCTTTTTTCCAAAATGTGAATTCACATTCTGGCCCCTTCATAAAGATATCCTACACAACATTCCAACATGTGAATTCACATGTTCCTTTTTCCCAAAATGTGAATTCACATCTTCCTTTTCCCAGAATGTGAACTCACATTTTGCTTTCCCCCACAATGTGAATTCACATGTTTGGCCCTGGCCTTCAAGATCCCCAAACCTGAGGCGCAGTGTTCCGCATGTCAGATTGGCTGGGCACATTTTGACACTCACCTCACCGCTTTCGTTTATTTCAACCTTGTCTTTTTGCGCCCTCAGCGCACGTTGCCTTCGTCGCCTTTCCCGAGCCCCCCGCCCCCTTGCTTCGTTTCCCCTCAAGTTTCGCGCATGGGTGCAGGCGGGGAGCTTCAAGTGGCACCCCCGCCGAACATAGCAACCGAGGATGCATCGCCCATTCATGGCCCATAAAGACACCATTTCCGGGACCCTGCGCCCGACCCCCACTTTCACCCTCCAATTTTTGCGACCGCGTCCGCACTGCATTGCACCAAGTATATTGCACCACATGTCTTGCACAGCATCCCTTGCATCCCATTGATTATACCGCGCGGACCGCACCACAGGTTGCACCGCATATCTTGTACCGCATACCTTGCTCAACGCAGCTTGTGTCCCACTGGTTGCACCGCGTTTCTTGCACCACACACATTGCATCCAATAGATCGCACCACATGGAGCGCACAGAGTGAATGCAACAACACATTGTTTGGGGCTCACGCTGGCAGGTAGGAGTTATTGAGTTTCTTAGAAAGACGTGCGCTTCTCTCGACGCTCGCGTCTGGAAGCGAGATTTGGTGTGAAGCGCTGAACTACGAGCATGCTCGGCTTTGTGGACCTCTCGGATCTGGGAGCTGCAGAACCAACGCCAGAGCGGCTAGAAGCAGAGCGACTCGCTGGGATCAGCTCGGCTTGACTACCCGCAGGAACCCCGAAGGAGCTCGGAGCAAAGGCGCGCTCTGGGAAACTTGGACTTTGGTGCACCACCCAAGCTGTCTGGACCAGCCCTCTCCGTAGCCGTTGTGGCTCAAGCGAGGTGCGCGTCGCCCAGGCGACTGATCTTCGCAGGGGGCTCGGGCCCGAGGCGCGCCGTGGTCGGTCCGGATGGCCGATGGCGACGAGTTCTACGTGCGGTATTACGTGGGCCACAAGGGGAAGTTCGGTCACGAGTTCTTGGAGTTCGAGTTCAGGCCGGATGGTCGCCTCCGGTACGCGAACGATTCGAATTATAAGAACGAGAAGATGATACGAAAGGAATGCTACGTGACTCAGGCAGTGATGCGTGAGCTCCGGAAAACCATCGAGGACAGCGAGATCTTGAAGGAGGACGACAACCATTGGCCCGCTCCAGACCGGGTTGGGAGGCAGGAGTTGGAGGTCGTTTGCGGAAAGGAGCACATTTCTTTCACCACGTCGAAGATAGGATCGTTGGCCGATGTGCAGGCCTCCAAGGACCCGGAGGGGCTGCGTGTGTTTTACTACCTGGTCCAGGACTTGAAGTGTTTTGTATTCAGCCTCATGTGGAGGAACAAAAAACGAACAACCAACAACTTTTGGTGGTCCGCGCGGATTTCTTGGATCCGCGCTGGACCCCCCTCCCTGGCGCGCGGAGCGCGCCAGGGGCGGCGCCGGAGGCGTTGCCAGGGGGGCCCGAGGAGATCCAACAAATCCGCGCGGAGTTCCGAAAGTCTCGGCTCAGGCCGTTTTTTGCTCCTCCATCCCCTAGGCCTCCACTTCCGGATCAAGCCAGTGTAAACGGTGCAGACCCCCGGGGCTGCCGAGATCCCCCCGCCGGCCCTGCCCGGCCCCCGCCAGGCCCCGGGCCGGGGTCCAGGCCGTGCTTCTGCAGAGAGCGGCGGGGAGGGGGGGGGGCGAACGCTGCGTGGTATATCCGGCCCCGAGCCAAGCAGTACTGTTCTGCCGAGCCCTGCCCCCCAGCCCCAGAGCCCCGACGTCATGATCTTTTCAGGACGTCCACCCCCAGAGGTCTCGACCCCTTCCCGGTGACCTGTTTTTCATCGCGAGTCGTTTTTGGACGGTCGCGAGGCCTGGTAGGGGCCCCCAGAGGCCGAAATTCGAGACAAATTCCCCGTCGTGATTTTTCCATGACCCGAGGGCGTCTGGGTCCCCATCCCGATCCCCTCCATCCCAACACTCCAGTTGGGGATATGCCCCTCGAACCTCGAGGGGAGCAGCCTGCATCCCCATCCGGAGGGGTAGATTGGCCAGTGGGGCCCAGGCCACGCCAGTGGGCATAGGGATCGGCGAAGCGATGCTGAACCGAGCCTCTGGGTCGGTTTGGGAGGTCACCGCGGCGATCGCGGCGGCCACGGATCGGGGCAAGGCTCGTGTCAAGGAGTGGCCTGCCCCTTCCTGGACTCCCCCCCCGCTGCGATGTAGACGCGGCCAACAGGGAGTCGTCAACTTCTGTCCGACGTGAGCAGTCCTGTTCTTTTGGCTTGGGCCCAGGTCGGACGGGCCTAGGACGAGGGTAAATCCGTTCCAGAGCGTTCTGGGACGCTCTCAGAGCGTTCCCGAACACTGAGCAGGTCGCGACGCCCGATACATCTTCCAGAGCCGCTGGATCTCAGCGATTCTCGATTTCTCCTCGCCCGATTTTATCTCGAGGCCGGGGGATTGTGGCGGCCCTCGCTTGTTTCATATGGTTTTTTTTTATCGAGTGAAACGCTAATCCGCTGATGATTGTTTGTAGCTGTTTTGATATTTGTTTTTCTTTGCGCTATTTGGTAGCGTCTTCTTTTGTAAGTTCTCTTGTCATCTTCCCATCTGTCTTAGTGTCTCTGTCTCTCTCTCTCTCTCTTTCTCTCGCTTTATCTATCCTTCTCGTTTCGCCAGCACCCGAGCATGGTTTTCGAAACTTCACCCCTGTACCACGCGGCATGGGGTTAGAATTTCGAAGACCATGCTCGTTTTTTTTTTTTTTGGGGGGGGGGGGGGGACCTCCGAATTTTATGAGGGTTCTTCTCAGCGTTATCTTCCTTTTGTTTCTTCTTTTTCGTCACCTCCTTCTCATACATCCCTCTCTCTTCGGATATCTTTCTCTCTTTCTCTCTTCCTCACTCTTCCTTCTCTTTCGTTTTGATCGTTCTTCTCTCACCTTTCCCCTCTCTTCATCTTTCTCTCTCTCTCTCTCTGTCTCTTTCTCCCTCTCTCCCTCTTTCGCTTTTTTCGTCGTTTGCTTCGTTATCTTCTTTCTTCCTCTCTCCCTCTCTCTTTGCCCACTCGTTATTATCCGTCGTGTTCTCGTTTAGTTCCCATCTATTTCTCTCTCTCTCTCTCTGTCTCTTCGTTTGTCTTGCAATATTATTCCGTATCTTTCTCTTTTCCATTATCGCTTTGCTAGCGGAAATTGGCGGGGGCTGCCACAAGGAGGAGCAAGTGGAGGAACATGAAGATTGGAGGAGGAGTTTGAGGAGGAGGAGGGTGCGGAGGAGGATCGAATGATGGAACCGTGGAAAGGAATTCTTGGTAGTGCAACTTCGTCCGACTCGTGATGCCGTCGGCGGATACTAGCGGAAGCTAGCCATTAAGTAGGATTGGGAATCCCGATGCGATGTTTGGGAAAGCGCTGGCTAGTATTGTCCGATTCGGTTGGCAGATGCTGGCGGAAGCTCGTCGTCACAAATGTTAGTAAAGCTTACTCACTCGGTTTTTGAAGCGCTGGGGGATGAGCGACGGAATCCCCAGCAGGTGCGAGAGGGTGATGGGGGGGTGAGGGCGGGGGGAGAGGTGAACGCTTCCGTAGCCTTTTTGCTTCAAGTGATCCTCCTCCTCCTCCTGCTCCTCCTCCTTCGCGTTGGCATGGCTCCGAAAGGAGTTCCTTCATTGACCCGGATGGATTCGCTTCGAACGCCTCGCCAGAACGCATCCTAGGAGAGGTCTGAGTGGTAATTGCATTGGTGCCGTTTCGCCCCACCGGGACACTGACGGGCCTTTCGAGACGCATGTGTGGGAGAGCGTCCACTGCAAATCGCCCTTGACATCCCTGCAGAGCACGGACCGCGAGATCTCCAGTACCCTGCACGACCTCCACCAGACCACGGATAGTGCTTTTCAAGACATGGCGATGCACTAACAAAGCTTGCAGGCTAACGTACGGCCCCCGACTTCATGTGGGTAGGGGGCGACAAGGTGAACACAGTCACGTTGGCCGACTTCGAGCAGTCTGGCGTAGTATTCGTGAGCAACCAGAGGGCTTTTACAATGCGCTACCTGCGGTATCACGAGAAGCGCATGTTTCGCTCATTCACTACGGCGCGCGGGATCGATTGAGTCACCAAGAGAGTCTTTGCTAATACGGCGGGAGATGGGTATGGCACGGAATCTGTCACCGATTTCAGGAAGTTCCACCTCGACGCGCTGATGTGCTTGATCGCAGTGCAGGAGATGGAGCCGATCAAAGAGCACCGCGGGATTACCATCGGCGCGGAGATCACCGACGATACGTTTTCCAAGCTGGACAGCTGCTACCACAGGAACGTGTTCCCCGCGCCGCACCCGAAGAAGGTCACTGTTCTCGTCGGGGATGGGCACGATAAAGTCCTCGCGAAATGCACCGGGGAGGAGAGGCAGAACCGCGCTGTTCGCAGGAGGCCAGCGGCGATGAAGGGGTCAATGAAGAGGGTTCGGAAGACTGTCGTCAAGAAGCACGTCCGCCGCGTGAAGGCTGACAAGAGGAATCCGTCCGTGGTTCTCAAGAGGCCGTCGGCCGCGCCAGTGCGGAAGAGGCCGTCGGCCGCCGCGCCGGGCAAGGGGCAGTCCGCCGCAGCCATTCGGAAGAAAACACAATATATGAGCAGCGCCAAGGCGGCACGCCACATGCACCACAACTACGGCTGGTTCATGGTCCTTACCCAAGAGGGCCGCATCGTTGCCGCAGCCGAGCAGAAGAACCCAGAGGGCAACGGCGTCGCCGCAGAAGCCCTGACTCGCGCCCTCAAGAAGCATCCCAATGTCAACACTTTCGTGTACGACAGGTGCTGCTCCTTCGATGTGCCAGCTTCGAAGTTGCCTGTCTGCAAGGGCATCAAGCATTGGTCTATCGACTGGATGCACGCCGAGGGCCACACCAGCAGCTGCCCGTGCAACCCCATACAAGGTCAAGCGCTTGGCCCGATGCTTGAACGGCATTAACGCACAGGTTGCCGAGCAGTCGTTCTCGTGGTTCAAGGGCTACGCGCGCCCGCTCAACGAGATGACCCCCCTGCGCCACAAGTTCTGCGTGCTCTACTTTGCCAAACTGCGCAACAACTACGTGGACCAGCAGAACATCGGCTACCTTCCGCCGCTGGAGAGCATCAAGACCACGCACGGGCAGGGCGGTCATTACCGATGCCCCCAGTAGCTACATCAAGAGCCTCCTTGACAAGTGGTTGGAGCAGTGATCTGGGCTTGGGAGTGGCAGCGCAACGAGGTGTGAGGGATGGTCGCGCGTGCTTTTTCAGAGTTTGCAAGAATTCCTTATGTCCGGGGCGGTGATCCAGTCCATGAGTTCATGGCTGTTCAACTGCTGCGTCCTGTTGCATAGCTGCGCGCGCACATGGCGGACTAAAACATTGCTACGGGGAGGGGGGTCGTGGGTCGCGCCATGGCCATGTTAATTTGCAACTGCAGGGGTTGTGGTTCGCAAGGCGTGCGAGGGGTGAGTTTCGAGCGCCCATGCGGGGTGTCGAAAAAAGGTTCGGTCTGTTCTTGCGTGCTCAGTTGTGAGGGGGCAGTGCACTGAGGAATGCAGCTTTCTGTGTGAAGGCCGACGGTGCCACCTCCGTAGGCGCATTGGCTCAAGCCTGCGAGACCTCCTCACCGACGCGCCGCTCGACCTCGACCTCGACGCCCCTCGCCCGCCGTGGCTTAAACCAGCGCTGCACCGACGGAGCGGGCGATGTCGGACACTTTGCATGGCGCCAGTTCGCGACGAACAGCGAGATCCAGCCCCGCTCTCACTGCAGCAACGCTGGCGCCCAGACCACCTTACGCAAATCGCCTGGGAGATTGGCGCCGACCCTTCCGGATGGCGCCATCGCGGGCCAGGGTCTTGACGCGAAGGACTTTTCAAAGAGCGCGCGAAGGTGACGGTCGTCGCAGCCCAATTCACGGCAGACGCGCTCGCCTCGCGAGGAGGATGTGCAGTCTCCGCTGTAGTTGTGGCCGATCTATTTGCGGGCACTCAGATATGTAATATACAGCGCTGCGCCGCATGTGTTTGTGCGGCCTAGTGATGGTTCGCTTGCGTTCGCCATGGCATTTTAATACAAGCTGCGCCTGCATCTTGTTCCTCCATCCGCTGGCTTCCGCCCCCTTGCAGATATTGCTCTTGCCCTTGGGCCTCTGCTCTGCAAGCCCCTCCTTCTCTTCCTTCTCCTCCTGCTCCTTTGCCTTCTCGTCCGCTTCCTCTTCCCCTCCTCCTCCTCCTCCTCCTCCTCCTCCTCCTCCTCCTCCCCCTCCTCCTCCCCCCCAAAAGAAAGAAAGAAAGAAAAGAAACGCAGTCGCCCAAAAACGGTGCCGCCGCCGCCGTTTTTATTATCATTATTTCTTGGGGGGTGGGCGAAGGGAAGAGGAAACTGCGAAACTGGAACGCTCGTCCTCTCCTCCTCCCCCTCCCCCTCCCCCTTTTCCTCCTCTTCCTCCTCTTCCTCCTCCTCCTCCTCCTCCTCCTCCTCCCCTCCTCCCCCCCCGCCCCCCAACATATATATATATATATATATATATATATATATATATATATAGAAGAGCATATCGGCGGCGGCGGCGCCTTGTTTTTTTGGGGGGGGAGGAGGAGGAGGACAAGCTAGGTGCGCTCGCGTCAAATCTGACATCCGACCCCTCCCTCCCGTCCCTTACCATGACGTAGATCCTCTCTCTACTCGCACAGTCGGATGTCGAGCAAGGCAATGATCCCGAAAGAGTACGCGATGCATTGTAGAGCACGGCGTGGCATGGCGTAGAAGAGCACCGCAAAGCGTAGTATGTCACAGCATGGCGTGGCGTGGCGTAGTGAATAATTGCATCACAAAGCTTTGCGACGCAAGGCCTGGTATCGCACAGCGACCCCGAACATAACATTGCATATCATGGCGTTGAAGATCAAAGCGTAGCATGGCATAGCACGACGTGGCACTAAAACACTGCACATCCTAGCTTCAACTGAAGGCATGGCATCGCGCAGCGGAACGCAACCTAGCATTGCATTGCATGCCGTGGCATGGCACGGGGAATGGCGTCAGCGCTGCAGCGGGAACACGATTCGGAACGAGCGGAAGCGCGGAAATGAGGCCAGCGCTGCAGTGGGAGCACGATTCGGAACGAACGGAAGCACGGAAATGAGGCCAGCGCTGCAGCGGGAACACGATTCGGGACGAGCGGGGCTCGAAAATGAGGCCGGCGCCTCAGCGAGAGCAACATTTTGAAAAAAACAGGCGAAAACCCAAGTCCGGGGAATCCTGTGTGTAAAAAACACTACGCGGGGGGGGGGGCGAACACTCCCAACCCGTCATCAGGGGAAGGAGGAGAGTAGTATTCATATTGAGTAATTGTGGAGGAGGAGGAGGAGGAGGAAGAGAAGGAGAAGGAGGCGGAGGAAAAGGCAAAAAAACAGGAGGAGAAAGAGGAGAAGAAAAATGAGGACAAACAAGAGGAATAATGATCGGATAGCCTGAAAGAAACCATACGAAATCACCGCTCGAAAGGCGAGGGCCGTCACAATCCCCCGTTTTCTCTTCGTCCTGGCTCCGTCCTACTAGGGGCCCCCGGAAGTCCCGATCTTTTCCCTGGGGCGGGAGGCCGAGAAGGGCAAAATGGCCAAGAATTTCCCGTCGTTTTTTTTGCGACGCGATGATGCCTGGGTGTCCAACATGGGCAGGCCTGGTGTTTCGTCTGGGGGCCAGGGGCCGATAGTCCGCCGCAAAGCAGCATGCACAGACACCCTCCAAGGGACTGCTCCTGAGCCCTCATGCGGAGGGTGGCAGTGTACAAACCACCACCGGGAGCCAGCGACTCGATGTACACCGCCGCCCTCCCTGAAGGTATGCGCGCAGTTCGTGGGAGGGCGCGCGTGTTCATATCTTTCGTGGCGCAGATATACCACGCAGCCGACAGAAACCCTGCCCCGCGGGGCGCGAAAGGAGGGCGCAGGCGGTGCAGCGCCGGCCGGCGCGCCAGCGGGCTGCCGCCGGCTGCCGCCGGGTGCGGGCGCGTTCTCGGCGGGCGCCCGCGCGCGCCCTTTGAGAGGCCCTCTGGGTGGAGGGCCGGGTGGCGGCGCGCGGGGGGGGGGGGGCTCAAGAGACGGGGCCGATGCAGGCGGGGAGCAGTCCGAGCGCCGGGTGCACCGACCCGGGCTTGGCATGCAGGACCCTGCAGGAGCCAGAAGCGGCCGGACTGGCCCGGGTTGGCTTTGACCCGGGCCAGGGCGTCCCCGAGCAGGGGGGGTACTGCGGGAGAGGGGAAGGCTTCTGAGAACGAGGCTGCTTCTTGGAAGGAGGCCGGGAAAGGTTGGCGGCTCGCACAGGCGAGTACAAGGCTTCTAAGAAACTAGAAGCACCCGTGCTTCTTAGAAGGCGCAGGCCTTGTCAAGTGAGCAGCCTCCTTCCAAAAAGCCTTCCCCCCTCCCCCTAACCACTTGTGCGCGCCGCCAAGAAGGGGCCTGAGAAGGGGCTCTGGCCCAGAGGAGGAAAAGGCACCAATACCGCTACCCTCGCCTCGCTTTCCCTTTTCTGGGCCTCCTGGCAGGCCCTCGTCGCCACCGCTGGATTCGTTTCGAAATCCTGGTCAAAACGCGCCCCGGGAGAGGTCTCGGGAGTAGCGGTACTGGTACATTTTTGGCTTCCCCACTGTCAAGGTTGGCGTCGCGCACAGGGGGGCAGGGGGAAGTGGGAAGGCTTCTTAGAAGCCCCCTGCTTCAAAGAAGCATTCCCCCCTCCCCCTAACCCCTTGTGGGCGCCGCCAATTATCTGTCGGCGGCGCGCTCGGGAGGGGCTTTGGGCGAGGGGGGTGGCCCTCTGAGAGGGCGGGGTGATTCCTGGATGGGACACGCGGTCCTCTGATTATTTCAGATGGGGTCCGAGTAGATGGGGTCGGAGGATGGGGCCGCATCGCCGATGCATCGGCGATGCGGGCGATGGGTGGGTGGAATCAGGAGCAAGGGGTGATGATGATGATGATGATGATGATGATGATGATGATGATGATGATGATGATGATGATGATGATGATGATGATGATGGTGGTGGTGGTGGTGGTGGTGGTGGTGGTGATGATGATGATGATGATGATGCTGATGATGGTGATGGTGATGGTGATGGTGATGGCGATGGTGATGATGATGATTATGATGATAATGAGGAAGAGGAGGAGGAGGAGGAGGAGGAGGAGGAGGGGGAGGAGGAGGAGGAGGGTAAACAGGAGGAGGAAACAGGAGGAGGAGGAGGAGGAGGGGGAATCAGGAGAGGGGAGGATGAAGATGAGGAGCAGGAGGAGGAGGAGGAGGAGGAGGAGGAGGAGGAACAGGGGAATAATAGGTGAAGTGCACGTGCTTGTTGCGAACGGCCGGCGCCAGTGGCGGGCGCACCGCAGTCCGCGAACGGCCGCGTTCCCGTCTGGGGAGTGCACGGCCGCACGGGACGGATCGTGCGAATCCCCGAGACGCGCGGGAGGCACGACACGATTCGAGCACGACGATGCCATCTCCCTCTCTCAGTTTCTCTTTCTGTCTCTCTGTCTCTTTTTCTGTCTCTCTCTCTCTGTCTCTTTGTCTCCCTCCCTCTCGCGCAGCTATGTTTCGCGAGAGCCGAGTACAGCGAGCGAGCGCAGCGACCGCGAGTCTCACAAGAACGCGCGTCCCAAGAGTGGAGAGCACTGGAGCTCGAGCCGCTCGGAAGGTAAGCAAAAGAATTTGACCCGTCGCCTGCTTCCAGCTTATTTGAGACATGCGTCACCCGCCACCTCAAGGGAGTGTCATCATCATTCTCATTACATCACCAGCACCACCATCGCCGTTCATCATCACCAACACCAGCACATCATCATCATCATCATCAGCACCAACAACATCATCGTCGTCGTCATCATCAGCATCGTCATCATCCTCACCATCATCATCACCATCATCATCAGCATCAGTATCATCATAAAAGCTGATGCTGATAACGATCGAGGTCGAAACGTCAATTTTGGCTCAAGGTCGAAACGTTTGTCCCTGGCGTTTCGACCTTGTTCGGAGCCAACGGGGAGCTTGAGGTGCAGGCACAGTTGCCTGCTTGCTCTTCCCTGCTTGCCGCCCCCCCCCCCCCTCCGCTCGGATCACCAGCTCTCGGGGTTGCGTGGCCATGGCTCCGTCGGCCGCCGATGTTGTGAACAAGGAGTTGACCGCTCAGGTGACTAAGACGAATGAAGCCATCACCATGGTTTCGGCTGAGGTTAGCGAACTTGCTTCCGCCATTTGTTACCATGCAAAAAAGCATGCAGCAGCAGGAAGAGAACACTGCTAAGACCCAGGGTAAGATTCAGGAGCTTCGAAGCATGTCCAGTATCGGTTCTCTGTCTTCCCAGGCTCCCGAAGGCCCGTTCAAGAAGTTTCGTGGGTCGTCTATCTCCCGCGGTGGAAATTCAGATCTCCGGTCCAAGGCCATCGTGTTTGGTTTCGGCGAAGAGTTCAGTCGGAAGGTCCTTCATGACGCAGGTGTTGCGATCATATCTGCTCGCGCTGATGAAGAAAAGCGAAGCAGGCCATGAATGTGACACCCCAGAACTTCTCGAAGGGAGTCATTCTGGCGTTCCCCTCGGCTGACGCAGCAGAGCGTCGCCCGATGGCGTTTCGGAAACACGTGCCCGACGGCTTCGAGTTCCAGACCCTGGAGGACCCCAAGACGCTCCGTTTGAAGCCTCTCCGTGATGTTGAGCGGAATAGGCAGTTGACAGATTTGCGTAAGGTTCGTGGTGAACTCGAGGAGGTTGTGAAGTCGTCTCCCTCCTCTGAAGGGCTGGTATATCGATTCTTCGGTCCGCGACGGATTCATCTTCGCGTCGAATGTAGTGTCGGGGGATGCGGTGAAGCTCTACCATGTCTCCAAGCTGGCCTTCCCATCCGACTCGCCTCGTGTGATCGTTTTCGCGTGCCACTTCGCCCAAATCGGTTTCGGCAACAAGAGTCAGTCGATTGTGGATATGGCGACGGGCCAGTCGAGCCTTCGACAGCTCTGCGTCTCCTACATCTGAGGGTGCCCCGCCTGGGGCTGGGTGGCTCACGCAGGACATCGCCTCGCTCCTGCGCGCGGGCCGATCTAGCGAGGCGCAGTTCGTTATTAAGGATATCGGTGCAGCGCAGTTCCTCCCCTTCCTGCCGAATAAACCTTTATCTGTCGCCGCGTGGAGTGCGAAAGGGTTGCTTGGAAGCGTTAAGAGTGAAGGCTCGGGCTTGCCTTCGTTGGCGTATATTTTCCGGGGCTGCTCGAGAGGCGCCAGATTGTGTGCGTCCAAGGGTCTCATGGGCATTTTGGGGATGCTGCCGCTCTCGAGGAGTTCCCTTCGCGCGTGTTTTCCTAGGCGCTCGCCCTGATTGCGCTCCTGGACGTGGGGTCTTGGTTTATATCAGCGCCGCGTTCGTGGGCATGTTTTCGGGCTTCACTCTGAAGTCTCTGATTCCTGGCAAGGCGTCGTACCTGCTAGGGTGGGGAGAGGCTGGTCTGTCAGGGATTGTCACTGTCCGCGTGCCGAATGTCGAAGCAGGGATTGGTCATTATCGACAGTGTCTCTCTGATGTGCGCGCCGCTCTACCTCCATCCTCTGCTGCTTCTCACATCCTGCTTAGTGACTTCAAGGTAGCCCCTGGCGATGAAGGCCGATTCGATCTTGCGACGGGGGCTGCCAGCCGGGAGGGCTCTGCCTTCTCTCGAGAATGGGGCGAGTATGTTGGGGGCTGGGCGGAATTGCATCAGCCACAGGATACGCGACGCGCTTGCCCCGGTCCGAAGATAGTCCTCTACCGCTCGTCTCGACCGCGTCTATGTTGATCTCCCTTCTGCTTTGCTAGTGGATCTTGTGGTCACTGGTTCGACGATCGGCGTGCTGACTATCTTTCAGGAGGGATCGCGTTCCTGTTGCGGTTGCCATCTCAACGAAACCGCGGCTACTGCATGGCCCCCCCTCCGATTCCTCCCGGGGTTCCGTCCACGTCTGAATTCCAGGGGCTCCTGGATGATCGTCTGCAGGGGGTTGATCCGAGGCCCCCGATTTTGATTCGACTGTCTCGCGCGAAAGACGCCACGCGCAATGCGCGCGCCGAATTCCACCGAGTTCTGCGGCGTCGGGAAGCCAAGTCTCATCGTGAGTTTCTTCACTGGGGTATCGCTGCTCTCCGTTCCTTCCGCGCTGGCGCGCGGTATTTTTGCGGGGCGCGCCGTCCGTGCCCACCCCCATCTCTATGCCTTCTCTCACATCGGCGCTGCCGCATTCTATAGCCCCGTGAGACTATGCGCGCGCATTGTTGCTCTGAACAACCAGCCCTTGACGCCGAAGAGGAAGCTTCGCGACAGGTGAGTGGCCTTCCCGAGTACGAGGCTGCGCGCAGACGCGCGCGTATCATGGCAATTGCGAGCGCTGGCGGCCCTCGTATACGTCTGTGCGTTTGGGGGCATTCTTCTCGAGGGTTCTGGCGCGCCGTGCCCATCGGCCCAGCATGCTCGCAACGAACTTGTTCGACTCTGGGGCGGTGCGTTTGCTTCGCTCGCACCCGACCGCGCGCTTCGGAGCGCACTTCGCCAGTGCGCGCAGCATGCTGATGCGCTGCCCCCCGGCACGGAGTGGGCCGTCTCTCGCGGAGAGTTTACAGAGCTTGTGAAGCTCTTTGGGGGTTCAACGCCTGACATGGATGGTCTGCCGTACAATTGTTGGAAGCGTGCAGGTGCTCAGGAGGTGTTGTCTGCTTTATATTTGTCACGGTATCTCTCATCCGGGTGATTCTCTCCCATCCGACCCCCGCGAGATGTTTATGCTTTTCCGAGCGAAGGGCGATCGCCCCCCGGGTGCGTCTGCTCTTCCTGCTCGCAAGCCGCCCTTTACTCGCCCGCTTTCCATGGGATGGGAGGATGGCAAGCTGATCGCGGCTGCCGTCGCTTAGTCTCTCACCAATGTCAGTGCGCAGTCGATTCGCAAGCTGCAGTCCGGGGGGGGGTCCAGGGAGATCGATTTTGGACAAGATCATCGGCTGCGGAGCCGATGGGGCGTTGGCCCAT